ATACCAAAATTAAAGAATATAATCTTAGCTATTACCAAGAGCTCATGAAACCTAGAAATTTTATTGGTACTCCTAACAAATTTGTTGCATGGACTCATTTGATTTAATTTAGAGCCATCTCAATATAGATTGACTGGTTAAGTATGTACAGCATTTTAATCATTTTATATAAACATATATATGAAACCAAACCAGTTGCCTTGCTGTGGAGTTGATGCTGACTCATGGTAACTCCAAGTATTTCCGAGAACTGCGCCCCATAGGGCTTTCCATGGCTGTGATGTTACAGAAGTTGATCACCACGCCTCTCTTCCCAAGTGACTCTGGGTAGATCTGAGCCTCCAACCTTTCAGTTAGTAGTTACACGCTTAACCATTTACAGCACCCAGGGATTACATATAATGTTAACCGTTAAAAAATATCCTGCCACTCTGACCATTCTTAACAAACTTTTTTTTAAAAACATTAAGACTTCAAATGTTAAAAGCACTTAGAAGTCTCTACCTTGTTTATCTTTAATATTCTAAACATACAGTAAACTCTACAAAACTAAAAATGTCACTATTAAAAGTTACAGGTACAATATGTGCAGTTAAATAAAATGACTGAAACAGCGCTTGACTCTTTAGTGGGTACATCCTGTTATGTGTCTAAATGCTAACACCTATCTAGCTGAGAAAAACTAAAATGAAAGCAGACTAATACAGACACGAATCCACAAATATGCAATAAAAGTTCTACTTTTAAAGAAAAGTTCATTATCCTTAGAAAACAAATTCACATCAAAATTAAGTGCAGAATGAACTGAGATTTGCAAATTTACTTTTAAAGAGAATAACTCATTAGAGTTCTCACTGTTACCTGGATGCCTATATGAAGACTTTAAAATTATAATGGAAATCAGAATACATACATCTTTTGTTGTTGTTCGGTGCAGTTAAGTTGATTCCAACCCATAGCAACCCTGTATAGGGTTTCCAAGGAGTAGCTGGTAAGCTTGAACCACTGACCTTGCGATTCACACTGACTTTGCAGTCCAGTGCATTAACTCACAACACCATACAGGGCTTTTGATATTGATATATAACCTCAAGGTCAGAAGTTCGAAATTACCAGCTGTTCCGCGGGCGAAAGATGAGGCTTTCTGCTCCCGTAAAGATTTACAGCCTTGGAAACCCTGTACAAGGTCACTGAGTCTCAACCGACTTCACAGCACATAACCACCACCACCATATACATATTATAGATGTATGTATGTATGTATGTATGTATGTATGTATTTATTTATTTATTTATTACCAAATTAAAACTCTCAACTGAATGAATCTTCACAGGTCAACAACATAAGCGCCACATAACATGAAGGGGTTTTCATTATAAAAGTAACTGCGGGTGTGTTAGTAAGATATGGACTCTGCACTTGGAAATCTACAACAGAAAGCTTGGCATGCTATTTTTTCCTTGCATGGTGTGTTTTTCATTTACACTGACCTAGCCCTGCAGTTTCTGCCTTTCAAATGGCAGGCAGCAGAGCAGAAAGGAAAGCTGCCCAGCAAGGGGCAGGCTGCTGGCCATAGGGCTCACTGCAGCTCTAGCTGGTTAGCCTTCACAGAGCTCCCTGGCACATACACACACTTGACCTACCTACCCTCTGCGCAGAGGGAAGTTGGGTGGGGGAAGGAAGCACAAACTCATTTCAAGTTGGTGCTGTAGGCTAAAGCACTGGACCACAAGGTCGGTTTGAACCACACAGTCCGGCGGTTCAAACTCGCCAGATGCTACTCAAAAACCCTATACAGGATCGTTATGAGTTGGAACTGACTCAATTGCACTTAATGACAATGGCACAGTGGAGTCCTGGTGTGGTGCTGTAGAATAAGCACTGGATTGCTAACCACAAGATTGTTGTGGTGGGTTTGAACTGCTGACCTTGTGGTTCACAGTCCAGTGTGAGGTTCAAACCCACTAACCACTCCTTGGAAACCCTGAATCAGAGGAATCCTGATGTGGCACTGTAGAATAAATACTGGACTGCTAACCAAGCAGTCTGTGGTTCAAACCCATCAGCGACTTATTGGAAGCCTTATACAAGCTCACTATGAGTCAGAACCAAATAATGGCAGTTAACAACAACATGAGTCATAACAAAGCCCTGGTGTGACACTATAGTATAAGTACTGGATTACTAACTTCAAAGGAGCTCTGATAGCATAGTGGTTAAGAATCGGGCTGCTAACCTTAAGGTCAGCAGTTCCAGCTGTTCCGCAGGAGAAAGATGAGGCTTTCTGCTCCCGCAAAGATTTACAGCCTCGGAAACCTTGTACAGGGTCACTACGAGTTGGAACCGACTCCACGGCACATCACCACCACCACTAACTTCAAGGTTAGTGGTTCAAATCCACCAACCGCTCCTCGGACACCCTATACAGTGTGGCTATAAGTGGGAGGCGTCCTGATGTGACACTGTAGGGTAAGCACTGCACTGCTAACCAAAAGGTCTGCGGTTCAAACCCACCAGCCAGCCACTTCTTAAGATAACCTAACCTATACAATGTTTCTATGAGTCAGAATCAACTAATGGCACTTAACAGCATGTTGTTGTTGTTGTTGTTGTGAAGTGCCGTCGAGTCGGTTCCGACCCTGTAGAGGGTTTCCGAGGGTGTAAATCTTTACGGGAATAGAAAGCCTCATCTTTCTCCCGCGGAGCGGCTGGTAGTTTCGAACCGCTTACCTTAAGGTTCACAGCCCGATTCGTAACCACTACGCTAGTGGGAATGAAATCCTGGTGTGATGCAGTAGGATAAGCGCTGGATTGCTAACCTCAAGGTTGGAGGTTCAAACCCATCAACCGCTCCTAAGAAACCCTATACAGGATCGCTGTGAGTGGAACCTGACGCTATAGAATTAGCAACAACAATGGTGCAGTGGCTCAGCACTTAGCTACCAACCAAAAGGTAGGGAGAAAGATAGGCAGACTGCCTAGGAAACCCTACGGAGCAGTTGTACTTTGTCCTATAGGGTTTCTATAAGTCGAGATTCAACTTGACAGCAATGGGGTTTTTTGTTGTTGTTAAATGGGAACACGCAACATTGATTCAGCGTTTTCCCACGCTCCAACCATGCCGCAGGGGCAGTTCTCCCGCTCTGCCAGGCAAGCTCCCCCAGAGCCCATCCAGGCGGCCTCAGCGCACCGGCCGAAGCCCCGCCCCCCGACGCGCCCCCCCGCCCCGCCCTCCCACTGGGGGATCAGCTCCGCCCCAGGCCCCGCCCTGGGCCCGCCCCGGGCCCGCCCCTATTCTCTTTCCCCACCTTCTCTGGGATCGCCCAGCGAGCTCCTAGCGCCACAGGCGCCCTCCCTCCACTGCCTCGCCCCGCCGCCTCCCACGCTTCCTTCAGGCCCGCCTCACCTTAGTCCGGATCTGGCCAGAGGTGGACACTTTGCGGATCAGTTTCTGTGGTCCCTCCTGCTCCGCTTCGCTGTCGGACGAGTCCTCTCCGGGCCCCACCGAGGCAGCGGCGGAGGTGACCGCGGCGCAGGCCCCGGCGGCGGCTCCTCCCGCGGCGCCCGGAGGGGGGTGCTGGCCTCCGGCCCCGGCCATTCTTTCCGACTCCTGCAGGGATACAACACCGCCCGGCGGGGGCGGCGGGGGTGGTCAGAGGGTGGACTCTGCTCCGAGCCCCCGCACCCAACTGCTGCCATCGGGGACCAGACACCCTCCCAGAAGGATCCGCCGGGCTGCCCCGCTCAGGCCTGACCGTAGTGAGGCTGGCGGGAGGAAGCAGCCCCTGCCAGATTGGGACCCCTGCGCTTGGCTTAGGGACGTCCTGAGGGTTCCTGCCTCAGAATACGATACAGCGGGGGTCGAGAGGCCGAGGGTGGCCGAGGGGTCGGGCACTTTCCTTTCCGCTCCCTCCAGGATGGACAGAAGGACTGGCAGGAAACCTCCGCAGTCAGCCCCTTGCCCAGCCCTCCAGCGCTTTCGGGCAGCAGGAAGAAGGGAAACCCACAGCTTCCTCCCGACCCCCGCAGGCGCGCCCCGTCACCTCCTGGACCTAAAATCTTTCCAGAGACTTCGAGCCTCGCCGCACGATTCCCACTCAATTAAAAATAGGCTCCTCTGCGCCTGAGCTGAACGAGGACTGTCCTGGCCCTGGCGGTTCTCACGGCCCGCTCCCCACTCCGAGGGCCGTACCTCTCTCCCACCTCTGCCTTCCGACGCAATCCTTTCAGCCGTCGGGACAGCGGGGCTTACTTTGTGGCCCACCCCCATCCGGCGCACACGGAACAGAAGAGCATTTTCTGGGAGGTTCGACTCCACTCAGAGAACTTTTCGTTCGGAAAGAGCGATCCCTTTGGCTAACAGGAAATTGGGAAGGGCGTGGAGAGAGAGCAGAAACAAAAGAGTACACGCAGCCCAAGACGACAGAATGCAACATGAATGTCTAAGCCGAAGCGCTAACCAACACTGCTTGGAAGAAAACAATGCACTCGAACCATGTGAATACCAGCACTCAAGCACGAAAACATTACAAGTTCTAGGAGAGCCACTCCCTAACTGGGACTAGAGCAGGAGGAAATGGGGCCAACAAACTACAACCACCGCACACTACTCGTCCCCAGCGAGGTGGTTATGCAGGCACCTGGGGAGCAGCAGCGTCTGGCTCGCTGTGCGCGCTCCGCGTCAGAGAACCCTGGCAGATATGGGAGGACTGGGAAAAAAGATAGTGAAATGAAAGATTCCTCCTGTCATCCACAGAGAACTCCCAAACTGTATTTTTAAAGAAGACTTAAGTCCTCACCAGACGGTGGAGTCTTCGTTTCAGGAAAGCATTCACTTTCTGGCATATTCAAGTCTTCCAGAGCCCAATTCTCTTCCAGGTTCTTCATTCATGACCTTTAAGGTTCCTTCAATACTTCTATTGGGTTATTTTTTTAGTAGTAATCCGGGTAGAATTTAATAGTAAGACGGTTCTTAGAATCATGAAGAAACTATGCAATCCCAATATTGTAGTCCACATCGTAGATAAAATTCATTAAAATGTAAAATGATCTGATTCGTTTTAAATGCTTAATTGATGCCATGTAATATTTATAGAGGCTACTTCTGCAGCTTAAGTTTCCTTCTTTAGTTAGGAAAGGAGTTGGCAAAGTGAACTTTAAAATCCTTTATGCCCTGGCGTGGAGCTACGGCTTAATGCGCAGGACTGTGAGGCTGGCGGTTCAAGCTCACCAACCGCTCCTCGGAAACCCTATGGGTCAGAACCGACTTGGCGGCACTTAACAACAACAACGGCTCTATAGACTTGGGATCTATCTACAAAGAGCACACTGCTGTGGAAGCAATTCTTTGAAAAAAAAATAACTAGTCATCTAAATAACGGCCTACCTATTTAGTCAATGACAAGTCCACTGGCATGGCAATGTAGACACCAAAATCAAACGCACTGCCATCAAGTTAATTCAGACTCACAGTGACCCTATTGTTGCTGTTGAGTTGAGTCGGTGGTGATGGTGGTGGCGTGCTGTGGAGTCGGTTCTGACTCATAGAGACCCTGGTACAGGGCTTCCGAGGCTGTAAATCTTTACCGGGACAGAAAGCTTCATCTTTCTCCCGCGGAACAGCTGGTAGTTTCGAACTGCTGACCTTGAAGTTCGCAGCCTGACTCGTAACCACTACGCTACCAGAGTTTCTTTTACGAACCATAGCTACCCTGTATATGGTTTCCAAGGAGCTACTGGTGAGCTTGAACCGCGGACTCTGTGGTTCAAACAGACTGCAGTCCAGTGCATGAGCCCACAGGGCCACACTAGGACTCCATTACAACCCTATAGAAACAGCAGAGTTGTAATCTTCACATAGGAGTCCTGGGGTGGCGCTGCAGGATTAGTACTGACTGCTAACCATGATAATTGTTCAAATCCACCAGCCGCTCCTTGGAAACCCTATATAGGGTTGCCGCAGAAGTGACCAGGCTGCACTTACAACAACAATCTTTACAGAAGCAGACTTTTTTTTTTTTGTCATGGAGTGGTTGGTGGGCTAGAACCATGGACCTTTCAGTTACCAGCCAAGCACTTAACCATGGATCCATCAGAGTTCCTTGTAGACAAGGACACCTAATTAAGGGCCTGTTGAAAGATTAGTCCAGTTCGGCCCTCTGTTTTAATATAAAGAAACTGAGGTAGACATATGATCTGGGACTAAAGTCAGTCATGTGATTCCTATTCTAACCTTTTCACTGTATCTCACTATATAACAAGCACCCAGTCTGTCAGATGTCCTAGGCTTCTAGTCATACTTTAAACTTTCAAGTTTATAGAGTGACATTTCTCATCATCTAGAAAGGACTAATTAAACTGAAATGTATTGTTTAATGCCCATGCCTACTTTGCCACCTTAATAAGAAGAGAGCCAAATATATTTCAACTTTTTATTCATACTTTGATTGCTTTAAAATACATACAATAGCTGGACAATTGCTTCCTCAAAGTAAAGGTATTCATTACTTCATAAAGATTTAACCTCAAAGCCAGCCAACTTTTCAAAGGCTCCTGTAACAAGTTCTAAAATCTTACTTGTGACTTTGAAAGTGCAGCTAGTCTTAGTCTACTAAATAAATAATTTGATTCCTCTAACATATGAATGTTGAGTAAAAATACTGTGTAGAAAATTAAGATGAAGGATAAGCCTTACTTCCCACAAACTGTTTTTCAATCCTCTCTTTTGAAAAGGCAATTTTTCTAGGAATACTTAAGGATTCCTCTCCAGATCTTAACTTGTCATTTACAAGTTTCCAACATGGAAATAGGTAAAGTTGCCATTAAATTATCTGATAGTATAATGGTTACAAGTTGGACTGCTAACCTCAAGGTCAGCAGTTTGAAACTACCAACCATTCCGCGGAAGAAAGATGAGGCTTTCTGTTCCCATAAAGATGTATAGCCTTGGAAACCTTATACAGGATCACTATGAGTCGGAGCCTACTCCATAGCACATAACCACCACCACTACTTAATATGGTTTTCTGCTCCACTAAAAAAAAAACACTATTTTACTAACCACATTTAAATCATAGACAAATCCCATACTGATACCAACTTCATGAATACTAGTATACTGTTATCTACGAGTCCTGGCATGGCGCTGTAGTATATATATGTTGTTGTTAAGTGTGGTGGAGTCAGTTCTGATTCACAGTGACCCTGTATAGAGTTTCCAAGGAGTGGCTAGTGGGTTTAACTACTAACAGCAAGGTCAGCAGTTCAAATCCAACATCCACTCTTGGAAACCCTATAACTATGAGTTGGAACTGACTCGATGGCACACAAAAACAACATTGTTATCTAAAGAGGTAGTAAATTTTGAATTATATTCTTATTATGTATCATTGTTGTTGTTAAGTACCGTGGAGTCCGTTCCGACTCATAGTGACCCTACCAAGGGTTTCCAAGGCTGTAAATCTTTACGGGAGCAGACCGCCTCATCTTTCTCCCGTGGAACTACTGGTAGTTCTGAACTGCCGACCTTGAGGTTAGCAGCCCAATTCGTAACCACTACGCTACCAGAGCTCCTATTATGTATCATTACTCATACCAAAAAGGGCTTAATATCCATTTGTAATGTTAAAATCCCATGTTATATGATTTTACACTGAATATCACAGAAACATGTGCATTTTATGCTTAGAGAACTAAAGTTGTTGTTGTTAAGTACCGCTGAGTCAGCGGTTCCAACCCACAGCAACCCTGTATGGAGCTTCCGAGGAGCAAATAGTGAGCAACCAAGAACGCTATTGGTTGGATAAGTACAGTCCATAAGACACAGCTTTCATTAAAACTTTAGGACTACTTCCACAACACAGTATTTGCTACATATTGAATTTTCCATATAGTACTCTCCTTAGGTGTTAGTTCAATGAGAAACATTTTGAGAATTATAATATCAACTGCACATACATATGGTCATTCTTGTATCTAATGCAAAAATTTCCCATCGTGCAGACATACCATTTTGCAATCGACTGCTTACTCTAAAGAATAGTATTTCAAAGCCACCCAGCAGAACCATGGTTAAAAAGGTCTGTCCATCTGCTTCCATGAAGATTGTTGTTATTAAGTGCCATGAAGTCAGTTTCGACCCATAGCGACCCTGTATAGGGTTTCCAAGGAGCAGCTGGTGAGCTTGAAGCAGTAACCTTGTGATTCAAACCGACTTTGCAGTCCAGTGCATTAGCCCACAGCACTACCCCAGGGCTCCCCATAAAGACTTGCTGTTGTTGTCTAGTGCCATCAAGTCGGTTCCAACTCATAGCGACCCTGTACAGGGTTTCTGAGGCTGTAAATTTTTACAGGAGCAGAAAGCCTCATCTTTTTCCCGAGGAACAGCTGGTAGTTTCAAACTGCTGAACTTGCGGTTCAAAGCCCAATTCTTAACCACTACACTACCCATAAAGATTACAACCATGAACACCCTACAGAGCAGTTCTACTCTCTAACACATGGGGTCGTCATGAGTTGGAATTGAGCTGACAGAAACAGGCTTGGGGTTTTTTGGTTTCTGGTTTGCAACTCTTCCCGTCCTAAACTGCCACTACTTCT